CTAGCCCTTTCAGCCGTGGGGGCGTTATAATATGACGGTCAATCCCACTATTCGTTGGTAAAAGAGTAGCCCAAGAGTTGGCGGTGGGTGGTGATGACTAGCTGCCTTCCTTTTTGTCTTACACTGCTAAATTAAGGACGGCTAGCGCAGATAGCCCTCGTGTAGCTTTGCGCAATATCCATAACAAACAAGCAAGTTTATGCTATTCTATTTATTACAATAGTCGTTAAGTTACTTTTCGGGACTTGAGCATGTACACCTAGCCTAAACTACAAACGTGTAAAATTCCCCATTGTTTCGGCTAGCTAGTCTTTCACTACTAAATTAGAGAAGGCTGGCGCAGCTTTGCGTGTAGCTTTGCGCGAAATTCAAACCAAACCGACTTATTAACCTTTATATAAGTAGGGGATGAAACGGCCTGTAATACATTACACATTGTGGAAATAAACATTATCACAACGACTTATTGACATGTATGAAAGTAGCTGGGGAAATGGTCTGCAGCACATGACTAGTTGTAAAGGTTTTTCATTAGTTCTTTTCATCCTTGAAATTTTATTTTTATGAAAACTATCAAATAACTTAAGTAATTTCCTCCTTTATCACACTAGGTCTACATCTTGATACATGAAATGCTCTGGATTACAAGTTCTTTACATCTTAACACATGAGGTTGAATTACACCATGTTGGATTACAATTTCTCTACATCTTAACACATGAAGTAGTAGTTTCGCATGGTGTTTCTCACATCTCCAAATTCTGTTGGAGGTGAGTATCCAGGAGTGGAACTTGCGTCCTACTTCGGACACCGGGTGAGCATGTTTCGGTGTGACGGGGTTTCGAGTCAAGTGCCCTAACCACCTGGCCATGACGGGCCAACACATGAAGTTGAATTACACCATGCTAGATTACAATTTCTCTACATCTTTACACGTGAAACGAGATATTGAATTATACTCCTTGAAAGTATTAATTAGTTAAGGGACCATTTTTTAGGCTGGCCGTACACAGCTATGAGAGGCTCGCATTAAGTCCAAAGGTTTCTGCGAAGAATGTCAATTGTTGCATTTCTACCAATGTAATAATAATATTCTATTTATTTAACATACGCATATAGTTGAAATCACTCATATTATGTTTCACAAACTTTAATTTATTCATCTTTTATGACTTGTCTCCAA